GTTTCTATTTGTTAAACTTCTCACTTTGTTCTTGTATTGTTTTCCCTATATATTTAAATTGTTTATCTATTTTCTCTTGTAGCTCTCTAAATATCTTTAGAACAATTATTTTGACTTCCTTGTCAGACATTTCCTGGATCTCCATTTCTTTGGGGCCACTTAACTATGTGTTCTTTTGTTGGTAGCATATTTCCCTGATTTTCATGATACTTGTAGACTTGTGTAGGTGTCTGTGCATTTGAAGAAGCAGTCACCTCTTTTAGACTTTGTGGACTGACTTTGGTAAGGGAAGTCTTTCACTTGCAGGTGGGGGCATACTTGACTGTTGTGACCATGGGTCTAATGGAGCAGGGCACCATGTGTAGGGGTGCATGGTTGCACCAGGTCTAGGGGTGGGTATGATGTCTCTTTGGCTCAGGCTGCTGGTATTGACAACTGTGTGGTTCTTGGTGAGCACTATGGGGGTCTGCAGTGTCTGTAAGCTGATAGAGTCCTAAGCATCCCCACTAGGTCTGGCGGCTAGGGACTGAGGGCAGACAGTGGTGGTGGCCAGAGCTGGTGGTGTGCATACCCTGTCTTCAGGAGCCAACAGCAAGTGTCCATGTAGTTGCAAGGCCAAGTTATAGACACACACGTAGTGATGGGGACTAGGTCAAGTAGCAAGGCCTGGGGCCAACTATGGGCTCATTGGCAGCTGCAGAGACTCTGGCTGTTGACGTGCTTTCCTGTGACTGCACACTCTTCCTCAGGTGTGCACACTGCAGTGAAGCTCAATGACAGGGGTCAAGCAGGAGTCATGCAGGTACACAGCTGTTGGGCCTAGGTACAGGTTAGTGCAGTGGTGCTTCAAGTGACAGAAGACAGGACCTCATCCAGGCCCAGAAGACTCTAGCTGTTGATGCACTCACTCTTGGCTGCATATCCTTCCCCACCAAGGCATGTGCATTGCAGTGGAGGTCAATGATAGGTGTCAGGCTGGTGGTGTGCAGGTCCACAGCTAGAGGGGCTAGTCCCAAGCACAGGCTTGGTGGTGGGGTTCAGCTAGGGGTTCTATGCTGGTAACTTGAATTCATGCAGGTACAGAAGCTCTAGCTGACTGTAGGCATTGCTACTGTGCTCTGATGGGGGTGGGGATTGTCTCAGTTCACGGGTGTCTTATATTTGCACAGCAGCAGAGACCTTCGATTACTACTGGTGTGGTTGCTGCGGTCCATTTGGGGGAATGATTGAGGTAGTGGTGTCAGTGAATGTGAATAGCTGTGGGGTGAAAGCTAGTAGAGATCTGCATGGGGTCCTCAGCCACTGTACTGGTCTTGGCTTCATCAATGGTAAAATCTGCTGAGTTCATCTCCGAGCAAGTGTCTGTGAACTGCAGTGCTCCGTTTCTGTGTCTGTTATTAATACCCTTTGCTTTTCTTCCTTGTTCCTAGCTGGCTTAATATGTCTCAGCTTTGCCAGTCTGGATTGGGTGAAACTGAAGCAGGACCTTTATGCAGTGCCCTGAGAGACTGGAGAAGTTAGTCACTCACTCCTCTCATCCTTTCCTGGCAAGAAGAGTTCTTTCTAACTGGGAAATTCCTTCTTGGCACTGAACAATGCTGGTTTTGAGGATGAGATCAAGTCGGCAAAATGAAGTTGTCTTTTTTTTCTCTCCTTGTATGATTTTTTCCAGTTTTTTTTTGTTGTTGTTTCACTGTGTTGCTAAAATTTCCTGAGTGGACTGTAGTGGTTTCCTGGAGCTGTTTTGGTTCATGGATAGTGTCCAATCAGTGATCTTTGTAGGGAGATGGAGAAGCTGGATTCTCCTACTTGGGCTGTTTTTTCCCACTTACTTTTCTCAATGCAATATATTTTTTATGGCTCTTAGTTCAGGTCTAGACCATGACTTAAATTTCATTTCCTTTGTTTATCCTCTGTATTACAATATTAAGCATGTCTAGAATCATTATATTGGTAGTTTCATTGGGGAGACCTTGAGGAAAAAGTAGTTTCTATAGGAATTTGAGGAGGCAAATGGAAAAAGCAAAAAGACTACAGGTGGTCATGGCAAAGCAGGAGAAAGAATATTACAGGCACGAGGAGGATAAGTTTAAGAGTGGTTCCTCTTCTTTGAATTTTGCCACAGAATTTCTGAGGGATGCATTTTGGGGGTCAGAATTTTGTGTTTTGAAACCTTAGGATATCAATAATAAAGACTGATCCTTGAATATTTGGCAGTTTTCCTCTCTTCTGTTCTAAGCTCTTGGATCTATTACTTTCCACATACCAAAAGTTCCCCATGATTGCAATTGTAATTCTAAACCATCTTTGGTGAAATTGTACTGGTTAATGGGGTAAACTAAGACTTGGGATTAAATTGAGAATCAGCAAAATTCTGTCAGGTGTGTTTTAGATGTAGAAGGGCCAATTTTAACACAAAGAATCACTACAGACAGCATCTGTAAGATGTAAGACTGCATCTCAGTATTTTGATGATTTCTTTCAATACTATACAGTTAATATAAAAATGGAAGCAGTCAAACATGGGTTATCTCCAAGGGTGCTCCAGGGAACTTCCACCGCTCTGAAAAACAGAGCATCCTTTCCAGGGCCTTTTTTGGTTCAACTTCTGAGGTCAGGATGGCAGGTATTTCTGTGTTGTTTTCCTGATTCAAAGACCTGTTGTCCTGTTCGAGCCACTCCTGACCAGAATGTTTTTATCCAGGACTATGCCCATTGTGGTTCTATCATCTAATTACCCTGGGGCCCAAGAGATTTATGCATACGTGGCAGCAGCTTTCCTATCCTTGCCTCCATTTTGCAGGCTTTGAATTGAAGTCACCGTGAAACCCCAAAGCACAAAGATAGCGATTGGAACTTAAGTTTGGAACATCTTAGGACAGAACCTTGACACTCTTACAGTGGGGCTGAAGTTGCTGATGTTCAGATGCGTGCTCTGGACAGACAATGCCAATGGCTGTTCACATCAGGAACTGTAATGCTCTGCTGTGTGAATGCTCTTGGCAGAGGTTCTGAGAAAGTAGTGGCATCAAGAGGATTCATTTTTCACCTAGTAGGGCCAAGTAGAAGTCAATAACTGTATTTTGTTTTTGTTTTTCTGTTTTTGAGGGGTTTTGTGGGTTTGTTTCTATTTTTCTTTGTTTCCTTATGTGGCTGCAAGAAACTCTAGAGGAAAGGCATTTATTTTGTGGGCTTTCCCTCTAGTGCCTGTGAAGTGACTGCAGCAGCTTACTGAGCAGCTCCCCAGGCCACTCAAGGGAGCTGTAGACTGATTGGAAAGGGCAGTTCCGATGTGCAGTAAAGCAGTGATATACAACAAACAATGACCTGTCCCTATATAAACATTGGTATTTTGTTTATCATGGATTTTCCCTCCAATTAATTTTGATTTTTAAAAAATATTGCATTAAGATGTTATTTGATTATTGAGTTTCTGTTTGTCTACCCCCTTAAATTTTACACAATCTACTCATGGCCCAGTACAGAATTTGGGGGAATTGGGAAGTTGAAATTAGATGTAATCAAAACAGTATTTTGATTGGAGCAAAGCAAACAGAAACTAATTACTTATTGGATGAGTTTAAGAGTAGACCCTTTCAAAAGAGAATGGCTGACTATGGTGGATTCTGCTCACAAATCTATTTTGACCTGTTTTTATAAGACCCTGTATATTTATGGGTTGTGTCTTTCAGGAGAGAGAGTGTGAATGTATAGATCATGTTCCCCAACTATGAAAATTTATGAAATTGCTGAAGAGAATTCCCTTGTCAATTAATAGTGGTGACAACAAAAGATCCCAGTTCTTATCACATGTGATTAACATGGTCAGCACAACCCAACTCTAAATGACCAAGTCAAAGTGATGAGGCAGCTATTATATTGTGGGGGATCAGAAAAATTCATCCCAAAAATGTCTCTTTGGCTTGATTACTTTTAAGAACAAAAGACTCAGAAAGAAACTTTGACCTTCCCCTAAACCGCTTAAAAGAATTTCAGGTAGAAGGCCTGTCCCAGGAAGGAGCTATCACCATAGATTACTCTACGTGTGGTAGACTGGGAGGAACCTTGCTAGGCCTGTTTTTATCAAAGTTAACTCTTAGGTCACGTTGTTTCTAGATGGCCCAGTAAACACTTGTTTACCAAATATGTGCCTTTCCATCTCCAAGTAAATTGCCTTTCTCCCCTTTGAAGTCCCAAACTACTAGCCCCAACATCTTCCTTTAACTACAGATGGTGTTTACCGTGGTGGCTTCCACCATTTTGGCAAGTTACTCACTTTTCCTGGGTTTCTCCCATGCACACATGTTGTTGTTAAACTTTGTTTGATTTTTCTCCTGCTAGTCTATCCCATGTCAATTTAATTCTTAGACCAGCCAAGAGAACCTAGAAGGCAAAGCAATAGTTCTTCTTCCCCTCAAATATACCTTTGAATATTTCATGATTTTTCAATGAGCCATAACTAAATATATAAAAGGGCTGAAGTAGGTGAACATTAACATCCTTCCTAATTTTAAAGTTCAATAATTCTTAGGTATTAATTGTTATGATACTACAGAACATAGATGAGGACACTAGTATGGAACAAGAAGAATTAAATCAAATGCTCTTATCAGTATTGCATTATAGACACTATTTTTCTCTTATTTTGTTTGGAATAAGAGCAAACAATGTTTTCACATTGGGTAGGAAACTAAGGAGGAAAGTAAAAAATTTAGAGGAAATAGAGAAGGCCATGGCTGCTTATTTTTCTAAGAACGTAGGACCACTTGAATAATGTTGCTGTTTACTCTATTTTCTGTTTGGTACAGAAAAAAGTCTACCAGGCTTAAAATAAGGAGCAGGCTTTTAAATCCTAGATCTACCCTTAGCAACTTTTCAATGTTAGGTAATTTAATGCTAGATAATTCCCTAGGGATCACATGATAATTTCCAGAATGAGTCTATTATTTCTATAATGATAATTGGAATTATGTATTATAATGTACTTTTTTTTCTTTTAGATTCTAAAGGTGCTCCGTTTCATTGTTTTGATGAAGTAAATACAAGAGGAGATAGATATGGAAACTGTGGTCGATTCTTTTGTCATTTTCCGTATGTATTTAGAAAATTATAATTTTGTTTGGAATGTAGGTCATATATTGCTGATATCCTAGGATATATTGTTATGTACACATTAAAATGGCATTTTATATGAGATTTTCTTTGTTTCATGATCTGAGCTGAACAGTATTACCCATTGCCTACAAATAACATGTGTTCAGTGCCTATAATGTTACCACAACAATGATCATAAAAATTGCCTCTATTTATTGTTGTGATGAGCTAGACATTGTGTTAGGTAGTATATATACATTGTATATTTATAATATATATTATAAACATATATTTATATACATCAAATATTTGTAGTAAGAATTATTTATCCCATTTTTTTAAATAAAAATATTGAAGACCAGTGATCATTTGCTCAAATTTTAGAAGCTAATATAGCACTGATCAGGACTGTCAGATTGTAATCATTATTTTTTCTCTTGACACATTGCCTTAGAAAACAAAAAGAGGCACGTCATACATAAGTCAATGTGCTCAAAAAAATTTTGCTGAAAGAAAAGTGTTGAAACCTGGATTTAAATTAGTAAAACACTTCTTTAACTAGCCAAATCAGCAATCTGTGTTATTTCAGTAAATGATAAAAGAAATTTCTTTTCTGCCTTATGCTTCTAGTAATCTTCTATGTGGAAAATTAGTTTGTGCCTGGCCCCACAAAACCTTCGTAACAAAAGCAAATTTATCTGTGGTGTATACACATGTACGAGACGCAACATGTGTGTCTACATTTCTAAACAGAGAGAAGCTACCTAGAGAGTCAATCACAACAGTTGAAACACCTGAAGACAGAGATGTAACATTTGTAGAAGATGGCACTGTGTGTGGTCCTGAGATGGTAATTAGAACTACAAAATTTCGTTTTAAAAATTATTTTTATAGTTTTACTCATTTTGGCAATATACCAACCAATGCATTTTTAAACAGCATTATTAAGGTTTTGTTTACCATAAAATTACTCATGATAATTTACACTGTATTGCTTTTGATTAATTTATAGTTGTACAACCATCATTACATCCAGTTTTAGAGTATACTGTCACCCTCAAATTTCTCTCTTGCCCATTTGCTCATCTCCACCCCTGAGTGACACACCCAGTTTCCCCTACTATTAACATCTAACAATGGTATGTACATTTGTTGTAATCAATGAACCAATGTCGATACATTGTTATTAACTATGTTCATACTTCATTCAGATTTCCTTAGCCTTTACCTAATGTCCTTTTCTAGGATTCTACTCAGAATACTATATTACATTTATTAGTTGTGTATCCTTAGGCTCCTCTTGACAGTGACAGTTTCTCATAATTTCCTTGTTTTTGATGGCCTAGAATGTTTTGAGGAGAACTGGCCACATATTCTGTAGAATATCCCTCAATTAGGAGTTGTCTTATGTTTCTTTTATGATTAGTCTGAGTTTATGTGTTCTTGGGAGGATGATCACAGCGGTAAAGTGCCCTTTCAAGTATACATACTTGATGATGTTGAACTTGATCACCTGACCGAGGCAATGTTCGTCAGATTTCTCGCTGTAAAGTTACTCTTTTTTTCCCTTTCCATATTGTACTTAATTGAAAGAAGTCACTATGCGTAGCCCACACGTAAGGAGTAGGAAATTATGTTCTACCTTCTTGAGGGCTCGGTATCTACATACATTATTTTCAATTCTTCTGCACAGAAGGTTTATCTTTGCTTCTCCATTTATTTATCCACTCATTTATTTGTGACAGTACAGACTCATGGATATTTATGTTATAGTCTGGGCTATAATTCAGTACTACTCTATTTACTTCATTGTTCAAACTGTTCTAGCTTTGGCTGTTGGGAGTTCTTTCAGTTGGTTCCTGTGTCTCTTTGACATATTCTTATCATTGTGGGATTTTTTTTCCTTTGAATGCTTCCTTATTTCCTGGAATCACAAGATGTTCTAGGTTCATCTGATATGTTTCTTGCTTCAGTTCTTAGAATCAGCCATTCTCCAAGAAGCCCTGGTTTATTTTAATGGGAAATGGTATTTAGAAATCAAGATCAAAATGAAAATTGTGCTTTTTGCTGTTGGAGTGTCACTGCTTCCAATCTCATCAGCAGACAGAGCTAGGAAATATATATCTATATAATATTCATGTATATATTCATGTATATGTATGCATATTCATCTGTTTGGGTATATATATGTATATCCACACTTAAATTTTATATATATTTCTGTATCTATCTATATATCTACATTAAAAAGCATGAGGTCAAAATTATACTTTCAAATTTAATTCACAATATAGCGTTCATTCTAGCCTCCTACCTTTTCATATTTATAACTGTTTTCTCTGACAATGACACACTTTGTTCCTAATTTGCATATTTATATTGTTCCATAGTAGAATGCATCTAGAATACACGTTAGGTAGTTTCAGAATTGCTAACTCATTCCACTGTGAAAAAAATACTAATTAGGATTCAACATTTATTTTTAGTTCTTTTTGCTTTTATCCTGAATGTATACGTAAAAATATTTTATTCAAGAGTTAATTGGGGTAATTCACTTTTTCCACCACAATGTGGTGAGATTATTCATTTGAAAAACAGTATGCTTTGAGATTCTTACCTGTGCTTATCAATTGTATTTTGTTTTATTTTTTGAGATGCAAAATATAAAATGATTTTAAGTTTCAAGACTGTATAAAATTATACTCAGAGAACTGTCATTTTCCTATCCTTCTACCCCATTTTCATCCCTGCAACTTTTCTATCCCATTCTCATCACTCTCTCCTACACCCAATTGAGGGACAATTGTTATTACTTTCTGATTATCTTACCTCTAGTTTTTTGCAAATGGAGCAGACGTACATTTTTTTATATCCCTTTCATTGTTACACAAAAGGTAGTCTACTACAGGTGCTCTTTTGCACTTTTTTTCACTTAACGCTTTTCATGGGAATCAATTTACATCACTTCTAGAGAACTTCCTTATTCTTTTATATTTTCTGGCTGAATTTTATTTGATTTATTAAAATAAATGTAATTTTTCCATTATGAAATAATGTGCACACATCAAAAATGACTTTAAAATACAGAGAAGGAAAAAAAAGAGGCAAAAATTTCTCCATAGTACCACCACCTAGAGATAAATTCTATTTGTTTCCTTCCAATACTTTTAGTGTTTATAGCATTTTTCAGTTTTAAAATTATACAGTTAATATAAATGTAAATTATAAAGGTAATATATTAATTTTTTAAATGGAGAAACATATGAAGAAGGTAAAACCAGAATCCATTCACCCAGTCACAGTTAATAGTAGTCTTTTTTTCCTTTAATTAAACTTTTTATTTTGGAATAATTATGCTCTAGTGGAAAGTTGTAAAAACAGTTAAGAGAGGACTTGTGTGTACTTCACTGAGATTTTCTTAATATCTATAACTGTAGTACAATATCAAAAACCAGAAATTGACATTGGTAAAGACCTTATTTAGATTGCATCTCTTTTTACATGAATGTGTGTGTGTGTGTGTGTGTAGTTCTGTGCAATTCTATCACATGTGTGTATTCGTGGAACCACCACTGCAATCAAGATACAGAACTGTTCCATCACCAAACAGAACTCCCTCATGGTATTACTTTGTAGTTACACCTCTCCCCATGTGTCCCTAACCCCTGGTTCTAATAATCAGTTTTCTATCTCTAAAATTTTGTCATTTGGCAATTGTTATAATAATGGGATCATGTATATAACCTGTTGATGTTATTTATTGTTACCCAGCCTATTGTCCTTGGGATCTATCCAGGATACTGCACATGTCAATAGTTTTGTTCATATTTGGTGTTGAGTAGTATGTTGCTGCATGGATTTACCACATTTATTTAACCATTCATATATTCAAGAGTATTTGACTTGTTTCCAGTTTTCAGTCATTACAAAGTTGCTATTGATATTTGTGTGTAGGTTTTTTTGTGGACATAAATTTTCATTTCTTTGGGATAAATTCCCAGCAGTACAGTTGCTGGGCTGTGTGGCAAATGTATGCTTAATTTCATAAGGAATTGCAAATCTATTTTCTAGAGTGGCTGTACCATTTTATATTCCTACCAGCCATGTATGAGAGATCCAGTTTCTCTGCATCCTCACCAGCAGTTGGTATTATCACTAACTTTTACTTTAGCTGTTCTAATAGGTGGGTAGTGATATCTTATTGTGGTTTTAATGTGCTTTTCCTTAGTGGCTAATGATGTATATCTTTTCATGCGTTTATTTGCCATTTATATATCCTTGTAGTGAAATGTCTCTTGAAGCCTCTTTTTGCATTTTCTAGTTGTATTTTTTTTACTGTTGAATCTTCAGATTTCTGTATATATTCTGGATACTAGTCTTTTGTCAGTTATGTGCTTTGCAAATATTTTCTTTCAATCAGTAGCTTATATGTTCATTCTCTTCACATTGGCTTTCACAGAGTAAACATTTTTAAGTCAATTCAAAGAGCTCTTTACTATCCCTAGATTCCCCCAAATTTTCTCCCGTGTGTTTTTCTAAATGTCCTATATTTTGAGAAAATTTTTGAATAAGGTGTGAGGTTTAGGTCAAGATTTTATTCTTCTCCCTGGATATTTTATTAGTCAGGTTCTCCAGTGAACAAATACCGTATTTGTTTACATTTATATATATGTACATATATATGTATTTACAGAGATATATAAATATACATATATTGATGTATATATACACATATATGTGTATATGTGTACACATATATGTGTGTGTGTATATATATCTATATATGTATTTACCGAGAGAGAGAGTGATTTATTTTAAGGAGTTAGTTCATGTATCTGTGGGAGCTGGCAAGTCCAAAATCTGTGGGTCAGGCAGTCAGAATGGAAATTCAGGTAAGAGTTGGTGTTTCATTCTTGAGTCTGAATTCTGCAGAGCAGCAGGATGGACGCTCAGGCAGAGTTTCTATGTTACAGTCACAGGGAGAATTCCTTCTTTTGGGAAAGTCTTTGCTCTTATGTCCTTCAAATGATTGGATGAGGTCACCCACATTATGGAGGGTAATTTGCTTTACTCAAAGTCTGCTGATTTAAATGTTAATCACATCTAAAACCTACCTTCACAGCAAAATCTGGACTGGCGTTTGACCAAACAAGTGCACACCATAGTCTAGACAAGTTGACATATAAAATTAACCATCACAAATGTGTGATTGCTCTAGCAACATTTGTGGAAAAGGCTATCCTTCCTCCATTAATTGCTTTTGCACTTTTGCTCAAAAACAATTGATCATATTCGTGTGGGTCTACTTCTGATGTTACATATTTTGTTCTATTGGTTTTGCGTCCCTCCACCAGTATCACACTATTGCTTACTTTAGCTGTATAGGAAGTCTTAATATCTGGTAGAATGATTCCTTCCACTTTATTCTTTCTGTCAGGATTGTTTTAGTTGTTCTATGGGTTGTGCCTTCCTATATAAATTTTATACTTAGCTTATCTTTGCTTATGAGCAGCCTTTCCGGGATTTTGATAGACTTTTCATTTAACCTAGATTGACTTGTAAAGAATTGTCATTTTTATTATATTGAAACTTCCAACCCATAAATGTGGTGTATGTCTCCCTTTATTAAGGTCGTTTTTGATTACTTTCATCATCATTTCATAATCTTCACATAACCGAGCCTGTACATGATTTGTTAAGTGTGTACATCTGTTTTTCATTTTCTCTTGCATGATTGTAAATGATTTTGTGTTTTTAAATTTTGATTTACTCATGTTCACTGTTAGTATATAGAAATTCAATTACTTTTTGTGTGTGGATCTTATATCCTGCAATGCTGCTGAACTAATT